GGGGGGTAACACTACTGGCATTAGACAGAGTAAAATAATAAAGTGGGTCATATTATGGTGTAATGCAATTAATATCATAGTACGTTATTAATGTTATTGTCGTAATACATAGGAGAAGATGGAGTTGTTGAAGATGATCATTTTATCGCGCTGCCACATCCAAAAACAGGTATAAAAGGCTTCATAAAATATAAATACTGTAAAATGTTATAGTTATAATTATGCATATATGATTCATTGGTATGCCCATAATTTGTCTTCACAGGTCACAATCAGCAGTATCTGTTCAGGGAAAATGATCGGGAGATTTTTGAAATTGTAAAATTTAATGAATCTCCAAGATCCTGGTTTGTTGATAATTCTGTAATACAAGGTATCAGAAAATCCATCACAATGGTCTTATATTACATTTTCCTGGAAATTCAAGACGAATTTCTCTTTAAGTAAACGAGTCCATAAAATACACTGTACTTTATGAAATTGTTTTATTTACCATAAAATGTGTTTGCAAAAATCTTCTATAATACATAATACTCGTGTATAGTTAAATATGTATTTTTGTGTACAAAATATTATGGTAATATAATGTTTTCAGATTTATACAGTAGCAATTTGGCCCACAAGAAAATTGTCATATACAGTACATGAATGTTTCTCTGGAGACTAGTTCATCTTCCCATTAGAAACGTCTTGCTACATAGCTGACAGCTTTCAACATTTTTTATATATTTTATATATATATAGTATATATTAACCCTGTAAAACTACTGTAAAAGTCTAACATTTTCCGAAGACTCTTTTTACGATATATGATTGGAAGTGAGAAAGTTCCATAAAAATTACTTTTAATGACCATAATTTGCATTTACTGATAGACCGTATGTATAAGGTGTAGTATCCTTGTTATAGTGAGAGCTTATATAACTGTATAAGTGCAGGGAAACAAATAGAAACTTTAAAATACTGTCGTACCTGCGAATTACGCATAAGGTCCATGTTTTACCCTAATTCGCAATAGCAAGTGTGGAACTTGTAACATGAATTTAGGAACCTTGAACAGGAAGTCCAGGAAGTGAGGAACAATTATTGGCTTAGGAACATTGCAAATTCCCTCAAGGGATTGACATGCAGCAAACACACAAACAGTATTGCAGTATCTTTAAGTGTACAGAACAAATAGGCCATTGTTTTTTATTAGCCCCCTTTAGATTAGGCATCGCCTTTAGATTGATGGGCATTAGATTGCTTCTTTCTAAACCCAAACGACCCAGTGAACCACTAGATACGTTTTTATATTGTACTATGTCAAGTTGTTTTATATTACTCCGCCGATCAGTGTTTTACTCTGCCAAGATGATGAAGACCTTTGGACAAACTATCGAAGTTTTCTACGATGATTCACAAAAACTTCCCCCCCCCCCCACCCCAACTTTCAAATGACGTTTCTCATCGGCATGACGACCCGCACGCCTATAAATTGAATTATCTTGAAGGTGTTAGTTACCACAGCATTATTAGTCGAGGTGGTAAGAGTGGTGACATGTATAATGAATTTATAGTGAAATAATTTATGCGTGCATGAAATTTAACCCCATAGATATGATGTAGCAAATAACTAACTGAGCTAACATACAAACCAGGTTGTCATCACCAACTCATAATAATGTTAGCAGACAATGCCGCGCAACGTTCAAATTGCGCCAAAATTTGGTCTGAAGAAGAGTGCATTCTGCTTGACAATCGTGTGTATGGATTCAGGATGGAGATCAAGATCGAACAAACTGGCAATATTTTGATGGCTGCTTATTAAAGAATAAAGATTAAAGATTAATGCGAAGTATTTTCAATCAGTAAGGTTAGGTAATAGTCAAAAGGCTATAACCTATAGGTATTGCAGCACGCAATCAGTTATTATTTCTTTAGTATACAGTATGCTAGATACCACGTCTTTCAAGCAGGGCTATCACAACCGCGAGTTGATTGTACTATATTCGTTATTTAATATACTCATTTCTGTATTTTGATACAAGGTAGCACAAGACAAATAATATTAATTTACATATATATAACGGGTGGCGCAAAAAAAGTTCAGGCGTTTGATCTACAATAGCGAAAAAACTATAAGAGCTATACATCGCTCAAATAAATGTAGCTGTATTCATAAAAGGCTAACTTAAATTTTGATAGGTTATACATGAGATATCACGAAATATTGACTGAGATATCAGCGTTTAAATTAAACTTCCGTAAGCATTTTCAAAAGAATCGAAAATTAGTCTAAAATGGCCCATTGAACTAAATTTGATATCATTCTCATTAGACATTACGCTGGGCATCGCCAGATTATTTCCCGGGCGGGCTAGTGATGAGTAAACGCGGAGATGAGCCGTACCCCTGGCTTTCAGATTTGACAAAATCCCATTTTTTTGTGGCTATACCTATAGAGTATAGTTGAAATATCAAATTTGGAGTATGCCACATCGACAGCGCTAGGTTTTGGAATAATATCTAGAATACTTTTAGTGAAAACTCTTGTGTCAGAAAGATGTCCCATCTTTTGCTGACAGGTTATGAAGATGTCCCATCTTTTCTTAACCAGTGGAAGCTTAAAAGGAGACTATAATATTATTCTTTTCACCACGCTAAGTTAGAGTAAAGCGGGGCATGCAGCGATAGCGCTATAGCTTTTGGAATAATATCCAGTATACTTTTAGTAAAAAACTCTTGTGTCAGAAAGATGTCCCATCTTTTGCTGACAGGTTATGAAGATGTCCCATCTTTTCTTAACCAGTGGAAGCTTAAAAGGAGTCTTATTTTATTATTTACAAGGCGCTAAGTCAGCGTAAGGCGGTGCAGCTAGTGCTATAGGTTTTTGGAATAATATCTAGAATACTTTTAGTGAAAACTCTTGTGTCAGAAAGATGTCCCATCTTTTGCTGACAGGTTATGAAGATGTCCCATCTTTTCTTAACCAGTGGAAGCTTAAAAGGAGTCTTATATTATTCTTTACATCACGCTAAGTTAGAGTAAGGCGGTGCAGCTTGCGCTATAGGTTTTGGAATAATATCTAGAATACTTTTAGTGAAAACTCTTGTGTCAGAAAGATGTCCCATCTTTTGCTGACAGGTTATGAAGATGTCCCATCTTTTCTTAACCAGTGGAAGCTTAAAGGGAGTCTTATATTATTCTTTACATCAGGCTAAGTTAGAGTAAGGCGATGCAGCTTGCGCTATATGTTTTGGAATAATATCTAGAATACTTTTAGTGAAAACTCTTGTGTCAGAAAGATGCCCCATCTTTTGCTGACAGGTTATGAAGATGTCCCATCTTTTCTTAACCAGTGGAAGCTTAAAAGGAGTCTTATATTATTCTTTACATCACGTTAAGTTAGAGTAAGGCGATGCAGCTTGTGCTATAGGTTTTGGAATAATATCTAGAATACTTTTAGTAAAAACTCTTGTGTCAGAAAGATGTCCCATCTTTTGCTGACAGGTTATGAAGATGTCCCATCTTTTCTTAACCAGTGGAAGCTTAAAAGGAGTCTTATATTATTCTTTACATCAGGCTAAGTTAGAGTAAAGCGGTGTAGCTTGCGCTATAGGTTTTGGAATAATATCTAGAATACTTTTAGTGAAAACTCTTGTGTCAGAAAGATGTCCCATCTTTTGCTGACAGGTTATGAAGATGTCCCATCTTTTCTTAACCAGTGGAAGCTTAAAAGGAGTCTTATATTATTCTTTACATCAGGCTAAGTTAGAGTAAGGCGATGCAGCTTGCGCTATAGGTTTTGGAATAATATCTAGAATACTTTTAGTGAAAACTCTTGTGTCAGAAAGATGTCCCATCTTTTGCTGACAAGTAATGAAGATGTCCCATCTTTTCTTAACCAGTGGAAGCTTAAAAGGAGTCTTATATTGTTCTTTACCTCACAACGCAGGCGCGGGCGTAGATTCCGTAGATTAGCTAAGACAATGGTGTCAATGCAGCTATTGTTTTTGGAATAATATATACATTTGATATATACGTTAGTGAAAACGTTTGTACCAGATTCATGTGCGCACTAGGGCCTATAGGGAAAGGCTGTATAATTATATAACTTTATAAGTCAGTTTCTTTATTATTTAGCCATAGAAAACTTACGCCTTCGAAGCCGGACTTTTTATACTGCCAAGATCTAAAACGGTAAATATGTTCCGCGGTCTTGACATGGAATTATCGTGCTATTCTCTAAGATACCAAGAACGTTTTGTTTTACAACACACAAGTCTTAATATTACATATTATACGCAGCCTTATTACACATTGTACGCTATATAGTATAGCCTGGCCCTAGGTGACTTGTCAACAGTCAGCATTGTGACATATTTGTACACTTTTATTTTAATGCATAACAGAAAATTAACTTATTACTTGCTTGGTTTCACACTGCGTCTAAGCAACTGAACCTGGATTGATGACATCTTATAGCGGTAATTAATAATGCGATTAGCGTTGCTCGCTTCCTGAAGTTGCAAACTCAGTTTGCAGATCCCGCTGTTTTTCAAAACGTGCGGGTCGTCATGACACCGATATGTGACAAATGTATCCTTCATAAATAGAAAAGTGCCCCAAAAAGAATGAAGCCGTTCTATGCACAGCAACAATTTATGCCCAATACACGAACGAAGTGCCCTGTTTGTTGTGGGTATAATTACAAAATATAAGTTCTGAGAGATCTGATTAACCATTAGTGATAAATGGGGATAAAACGTTTTATATTCAAATCTGTAGATGGAAGTCTACATTTCGCAACAAGAATTGATCCTTTATTTATGGTTCTTCCTTTCCTTAAAAATACTTCAACCAAGGTCAGTAATTGTAGAATTTGAAAATGTACATATGTATAAATATATCCAACAAAATGACTTTATAAATACACTTGTTGTCTGTTGAATTGCGAAATTTATGAGCCAAAGTCATTCATGCAAGTCAGAAATTTCGCGTTACAACTGATGAACTGAATATATCGAAAACAGTCTTATGAACTTCAAAATAATTGGTCATGCTTATTTGGTTAGGTCCATAATTCTTACATGTCTTCCCCTTTACTTTCGATCCGTATCTTTCAAGTTCATGAGTACAGGTACGTACGTAGTTTTACAGTGACTTTTTAATTTTTATAGTTTATGACTTTGGATCATATATTACAAGATTCCAACAATGAACACCTTGCTAAACTATCTCACTGTATAACTAACGAAGATTTGGCTCTAGTTACTGAAGTGAAGGGAGAAGATGATCTTGTTGCTCTCAAACTTAACCATGACAAAGTTATTTCTTGGTTGGAAAAAAAGGTTAATAGGTTTTTTTAGTTTTGCATGGTGCGTCATGAGTCTACGAGACAGGGAGCAAGGGGGCAATTTAAAAAACCAAGAAAATTTGGGTTCATGTTGGGAAAAATTCAGGCAAACTTATCACAAAATATGTTAAATTTGGGTTATTTTATTACGATCCTTGATGAAACCAATTCTTCATGAAGGGCGTAACTCCAGATGCACAATGGTTACTAAAGGGGCGTAGGTTTGTTCGCGAACAGGATGATTTCTAATGTGGGCATTAAATCAGAAGATTAACAACGAAACTGGTTTATGCAATCTTTAAAACTGATTTTTTAATTATTTTTTTATTTACTGATTCGCCCAAGATATTGAAATTACGCATAAAAGAAACAAACTATTTACAAGAGATGGGCTAGGAGCCTACTAGAAACCATATGGCTTTTGTTTTAGGCCCCTAGGTTATAAATTTAAACTAATTAGCAAAATAATATGCAGCATCAGTTCGAGTGCTTTTAGGAGAAAGGAAAAATAATAGTTAAATATTATATGATATGATAGTGGGCTATATTTACAATTCAATTTTCGATTTATAGTTTTCCTATACTTTGTGCTTTTCGAAGACATACTGTATCGTCTATACTTCTCTTTCAACACACTTGCTTCAACCAGAGAAATTTCCCAAATAAGTTTTCCTATACTTACAGGAATATATTATTCTTTAAATTTAGATCTGAGAAGTACTTAGTTTATCTGATTTGTTTATTTTCACAAAATCTTTTTTGGATTGACTGAAATTTAGATTTTTGTAAGTTTCGAAATCAATACGAAATCAAGAGCTTCAGGACTTATTTTTTATTCAGGACACTAAAATTACTTCGTCCTTTTGAAAACCCCCGTTCAGTTGGAGAAGTGTTCTGAACACGTTCTGACTCATGTGTGACACTAAGTACAAGTATTTGTCGGAATATTTATTATTCTGTATTTCTTGACGCTGTTACCTAGTGTTGGCGACAATTTTACTTCGTTGACAGAGTTTTATTTATATTTCGTATCCATAACTTGTTTTTAAGGTAATTCCGCAGTTTTGCATTGGGCACTTTTACTGCACACATCTTATAACTTATAATTTCATCCATTATACGTACCGTTTAAAAAAACCATTTTATGACAATTTTATGTTACTTCAAAACATCTTTGGTTACATTCGTGCAAAGAATTACGTTAAAATCAATGTTTTCAATAAAGGCATACAAAAGTGTAGCTAGGGTTCCTGTGTCTGTAGTGTATTTATTTACTTGTGTTTCACGTTTTAATGCCACAATTCCCAAAAAAGATCGGTGACCCCCGTTTTTTAACTGATAATTTATTTCTTTAATGCATTAATAAAAACGTCAATAAATATCGGGCTGTTGTGATTTTGCTGTTACTCGTAATGAGCGTCAAGATGGCGCCATATTGGGGTAATTGTGGTATATTGTGCTTGTCATATCTTCTTAACGAGTTCGGTGACCCCGACTTTTTTGTGTGATTTTACTTTAAGTATATCATAAACTCCATGCCTGGGAAGTTTCAGCACATTCTCATTTCGGGAACAATTACTGCGGAATTACCTTTAAGAACATGTTTTATCAGTTACAGAAAATCATGTTGTCAGTTGCAGAAAGTTTGATAATCAATATTGTAGGTGCATCAAACGAAAGATCAGTTGGAACAAGACAATATATGTACATCTGGTGCTCAATCATCGACATTTGTCAGAAGTAGTAAGTCACGTGGCAACACTCAAGGTACACCGTACAGTACTGCATATGAAATATATGGTAACTTATCCTAATTTCAACCTTGCAGGCATGTTGCGGGCAGGCAAAACTCATGAGGTTTTTGCAGAGAAGGCTACCGCCCAACCTCGTACCCAGGGTCTTTCCTCTTGTGGAAAAAAGACCCTGGTAGATGCTGGTCACGTGATCTGCTAAAATTTGGCAGATTTTTAATTAGCAATCCAAGATGAGGCCAATAAGTATTTGATATTTGGATAATTTTTATAGTTTAATTTATAATTGGCTTTTTGTATGATTGTCGTTCAGTAAAGGAATCCAATATAGTTAATTAGAAATCTGCTAGATTTTAGCAGATCACGTGACCAGCATCTACCAGGATCTTTTTTCCACAAGAGGAAAGACCCGAGGTTGACTACCGCCTACGTCAGAAATAACACCCCCTATTTTTTTAAAATTCAGTATAGATACATTGTACTACATGAATAACAAGAGCATAATATAAATACACTAGGCGAACAAACAAAAGGACACGAGGTCCCCTACGGCACATACAAGGTCATTGCAACTCAAAACAATCAATCAAACAAGCACTCAAACTCGGCGGGTGGATTAAATTGCAAATATAATCTGCCAGTTTTGTATATTCTACATTCGGAGATTTTCCTGCGAGGTAGCCTTTCATGTGATGATCATACAGTAGTTGCGTGAAAATTAACGACACCGTGCAGAGCTTTCGGATAGCATGGTGCAGCAAAATGTACACCCGCAAAATACGTATGTACTGGCATGTTTTGTGTCATTGTACTTGTAGAGTATGCTTTAAACAAGTCAGAAGACAGGGTAATGAGAAATACGTGTCTCTCGAAGTGTACAATCATTAAGAGTACCAACAATCTGGCTGCTTAATAAATAAGTATTTTGTTTTCGAAGACGATTATTTACGATATGCCTATGGTTTGGTATCTGATTATATTTCCGACTATTGGAGTCAGAAACTGAAAGATTGTTTAGGGTAAGTCATTGAAAAATGTTGAAGCCATGAATATTCCTGTAGGACTGCTACTGCATTTTATTTAAATTCCGTGCTGCAGTCAGTTCAATGTAATATTTTTGTAGAATAACCGATGAAATTTTGGAATCATCTGGAGAAGAGCCCGCGTGCAAGGTTAGTACTAGACAGCGGTTCAGGCTAGGTAAGTCCAGCACAGTGAAATCTATGTAAACTGGAATGATAACTCAGAGGGGGGGGGGATTGAAACCAGCGCATTTCAGTTTTTCTGAGTTTTGAGCAGAAATAATTAACACTGAACGTTGTGCTGTATATGAAACTGAAGCAATTTGAAAACGCGACTTGGTGTAGAAATTTCAAGACTTTGGCTAAAAGGGAAATATTTAAAAACTAAAAAATAATTTGCTATTATTTGGCCGAATGTTAGTTGTTTTTGTATTTTTAAAATATTGTTATTTTCGCTGAAGTCTTGAAATTTCCACATCGAATAGCAATTTTCAATAGCTTCAGTTTGATATACATACAATAGCCCAACGTTTGGGGTCAAGTGTTTGGCTTCAGCGAATCATAGGCTTTATCATAGTTATCGTTCCAGTTTCACTGGTCCAGAACCACTTGTTCCAGCATATTATATAATTATAACTTGATGTACTGTAAAATGAAAGCCTTTAAGTACTGTTTAATAAACGAGCAGGAGTGTTTTATTAGGTTTAAAGCCACGAGCGCGCAGCGCGAGTGGCTTTAGACCTAATAAAACACGACCTGCGAGTTTATTAAACGGCTTCAAACACGACTACAAATTCAATAGATATACTGCTTTATTAGTATTCTTTATATAAAGAATACTAATGAGGACACGACTGCAATAGATACTGCCTTGTTAGTATTCTTTATATAAAGAATACTAATTAGGAGTGTTTTATCAGGTTTAAAGCCACTGCACGTGACATATTATGGTTAACATGATTTGCCAATCAGCTTATGAATTATTAATGAGTGTTTGAATGTTGTATAATGATCTCGCTATAATATTACATGCACTTATGCAAATACAGTATTAATTTGTAATAAAAATTATTAAATTCAGTTTTTGCAAATGTAATAATTGTTATTAGTATAATTACATAGGTGATTATTGAAAATTCTCCACGCTGATTGGTTGCCGTTGAGGTGATTATTACGCGATAATCACCTAAGCGATTTTCAAAATGGCGGCCGAAGCCTTTTTGTCAATTAAATGACGAAGAAATGTGTATTTTCTTATTTTTTTCCAAATAATCACCTATGAAATTATACTAAAACAATTATTTACCTCAGGCTCGGTAATTATCGTGAATAAAAACCTCGACTTCGTCTCGGTTTTTATTCACCGATAATCACCTCGTCTTCGGCGAATAATTGTTAAATAACATTTACATGAGTGCATGTAATATTACAGTTTGGGAGATCATTTGCTATCTCTCATCTCTTCTCAGTGTTAAAAGCCTTTCGATTAATCCGTAGCTCTTTTAATTTCAATTTCACCTTCATATGACTATTAGTATTGCCAAATCTGTGTGTAGTGGTTTTAGTCACATGAGAAACTTATTCCCAGCTTGACTTCACAAACACCATACACAATCACCAGAAAGTGGTCAGACAGGTCAGTGTAGTTTCAGTGAGTGATATCATCGTTTGTTTTGTTTTGTTTAGAAAGTGAAATTAGATGAAAGTTTGGTTGGCCAGCCAGATGAAGATTATTCTAAATTTGCTACTAAAACAAAAAAAACTGATCAGGTATAAATAAACACATGTTAAAAATATTTGAAGTAGAAAATCCTGTTACAATAGCCACGTATCCACAATGAGGCTGAGGTTACCTTGGTTCCACTTTCGTTTAAAACTTTTATACATTTTCATCCCCGAGCCAACGGCGGTACTATATTTATACCCGGGGAAAGGAAAACTTTAGCGAAGTCTAAAGTTCATCAATAATCGCGGTCGCGTGGCTATGATACAAGGTTTCATGGGTGGGCTCCTCACTGAGAGAGTTGTTTATTGGATAAAGATCACAAAGTCGAGTTTGTTTTTAGTAATCTAACGAAAGTACAGCTCTCATAATAGCAACTTTTAGAAGACAAAATTTGTCTAAAGATAATAACCTGTAAAAAAATGGAGAGGTTCAGAACTTCAGATTAGACGAATTCACTAATGAAATTATATATGAATAGTGAAGCACGTACTATTCGCTGCTCTTTTGTGCAAATTTCGTTTTAGGTAGGGTCGGATGGTTTATTATAGCGTATCCGAAATTGCCGAATAAATCAAAATGTATCAACGTTTTTCGGTTGTTTAATTACATTTTTCCTTTCTCTAGCACAATGTTAAACTCACAGCAGCTCAGAAATCCCTGGCAAAAGTCAACACAAAAGGAATGAAAAGTATATCAAGTTTCTTTGGAGCTCCAAAAAAATCCAAGAAATAACATTTGAAATGAACTACATGCATGTAGTGTATGTTACTATGTACAGTACATTAAAGTAGATACATCATATGGAGCGCAGACTCAAGTTTTGTGCGGTATATTTAAATTGTTTGGAGTACACGTTGCGAATATAAAAGCATTAAATTAAGAAGGAAAACTGGATGTACTGTTTAATAAACGAGCAGGAGTGTTTTATCAGGTTTAAAGCCACGAGCGCGCAGCGCGAGTGGCTTTAGACCTAATAAAACACGACCTGCGAGTTTATTAAGCTCGCGTGCAAGGTTAGTACTAGACAGCGGTTCAGGCTAGGTAAGTCCAGCACAGTGAAATCTATGTAAACTGGAATGATAACTCAGAGGGGGGGGGGATTGAAACCAGCGCATTTCAGTTTTTCTGAGTTTTGAGCAGAAATAATTAACACTGAACGTTGTGCTGTATATGAAACTGAAGCAATTTGAAAACGCGACTTGGTGTAGAAATTTCAAGACTTTGGCTAAAAGGGAAATATTTAAAAACTAAAAAATAATTTGCTATTATTTGGCCGAATGTTAGTTGTTTTTGTATTTTTAAAATATTGTTATTTTCGCTGAAGTCTTGAAATTTCCACATCGAATAGCAATTTTCAATAGCTTCAGTTTGATATACATACAATAGCCCAACGTTTGGGGTCAAGTGTTTGGCTTCAGCGAATCATAGGCTTTATCATAGTTATCGTTCCAGTTTCACTGGTCCAGAACCACTTGTTCCAGCATATTATATAATTATAACTTGATGTACTGTAAAATGAAAGCCTTTAAGTACTGTTTAATAAACGAGCAGGAGTGTTTTATTAGGTTTAAAGCCACGAGCGCGCAGCGCGAGTGGCTTTAGACCTAATAAAACACGACCTGCGAGTTTATTAAACGGCTTCAAACACGACTACAAATTCAATAGATTTACTGCCTTATTAGTATTCTTTATATAAAAAAATACTAATGAGGACACGACTACAATAGATACTGCCTTATTAGTATTCTTTATATAAAGAATACTAATTAGGAGTGTTTTATCAGGTTTAAAGCCACTGCACGTGACATATTATGGTTGACATGATTTGCCAATAAGCTTATGAATTATTAATGAGTGTTTGAAATAACAATCACTTACACCATAGCTATGTGTTCTGAACCACTAATGAACCAATAATGGCAGTAACAGTAGAATCAACAAAGGAGAGTTGGTTAGAGTGATCTTAAATTCACGACGTTTATTCCATAAATTTAAGATAATAATTTTATGTATCCTTGCGAATGGAAACATAAACTGACAGTTGCGAGTGCACATCCAACTGCGACGCGATAATGTTTTGGTGTAATTTATATAAAACTAGGTTACCCACAGGGCAGTAATGCTGCCTTTGACAGCAAAAGACAAACTACAAGGTGTTGAACGAGTCCTTCAGAAACATCCTATTATTGTTATCCTGTCCTTTCTCTGATAGCCGCTACGCAGGCTATTGTTATCCTTGTTAACCCATTTATTGACAGCACGGCCCTACCACTGACTGAGTATTAAAAATCGTCTGGCGTTGGACAGGGTAAATACTAAAGTCATTACTGTGCTGATGGATTAACAAGAGCCATTGGCAGATAGGTTTGTTAACCCATTTACTGGCAGTACCCTGTACCACTGACGAGTAAAATTTTCTGGCGCTGGACAAGGGACTGGCGCATTGCCAGCTAATGGGTTAAACCACCGTGGTTAAACATAAGATTTGATGCTCCAGGAAATGTAAACAAACTATCAGTGTGACATCCCAGTTTATATATTTATATACTCGGAATATTGATTTCTCGGTAAATACAAAATTATTTTAAAGTATAACAACCAGCGAAGACGTAAGCCACCAACTACCCTGCGCGACTGCGCGCAGACTATATAATGACATATATATGTTATCCGTCTGGTCCGTCCGTCGCCATCCGTCCGTCCGTTCGTATCCGCGTTTTATCCTAACTCGTTTTTAAAACACAAAAGTGCGGTTCGTCATGATCAACATTTTCCAAAGCGGCCAATTAGACCAGGGGTTAAAGGGCAATGACAATGACATGCAGGTGACTACTGATACTAACTACATGATACTAACTACATGATACTAACTTAACGGCAGTAGGCAGAACAATTAGTGAGGCGGAAGAGAGGGCGAGCGTAGACATGAGGAATGTTCAGAAATGGCTTTGTGCAAATAAACTAAGTCTAAATATAGTGAAAACCGAGTATGTTTTAATTGGAACACGACATAAAATAAGTAATATTGATACCCATCAAGGAGTTAAAATAAATAATCAATTGATTAAAAAAGTTAAAAATACCAAAGCTCTTGGAGTTGAATTAGACGAAAACTTGAGTTGGGAAAAACACATTAACCATATTAGCAGTAAAATATCATCAGGTATTGGGGCTATTAGAAAAATGAGGGAGTATGTCGAACAAGACATTTTGATAAAAGTTTATAATGCCTTAATCCAACCTTATTTTGATTATTGCTGTGAAGTATGGGATACACTTAATAAAGGCCTAAGCGAACGTCTACAGAAATTCCAAAACAGAGCGGCTAGGTTGATCATGAACTTAAAAAATGAACATGGTCAGTCTATTTTGGCACGAAAATCTCTAGGCTGGGTAACACTTGAAGAGCGTAGGGCACAAATGAAAGCCAGGCTCATGTACAAGACAGTTAATGGTTTAGCCCCCCAACGACTATGCGAAGCTTTCCAAAATCTGAATACCATTCATGACCATAATTTGAGAGGTTCTTCAACAAGGTTTTATATTCCAAGACCAAAAACGGAATCCTTAAAAAAAAGCTTCCAATATAGTGGGGCTAAACTATGGAATCAGATACCTGAAGAGATACGCAATTCGGTATCGTATAATTCGTTCTGTAAAAAGCTATCTTCCTCGACCTTAATCTCGACTTAAAGTAGTAGTAGTTAATTTTTGTCTAAATAGGTATATAATTGTATTTGTTATGTATGTAATATTAGAGCTAGTATATAAATAATAATTTGTAAGTACACATCCCTTTTGGAAATCAGCTTTTGCTGAAAAGGCCAATGTGTTTAAATAAAGTTGATCTATCTATCTATCTATCTATTGCGTCTCACTAATTAAAATTTGCGTGTTTATTAATTAATGTTTATCAAAGAAAGCAAAAATATATACAAGACAATCTCACATGTGAAATTTTTTCACTTACGTACTGCCTTGTGATGCAGTACAAGTATAAACACCAAATGACAAATTAAATCATACGGCACATTCAAGATTTTAATATCGTATTTCAGCCGCGCGTTTATACTGCTTGGCGCTGCGTTATATAGAGAATAATACATGGTGCGCGGGAATACCAGATTTATTTCGAGTGTTGAACATGATATCTCACGAGTGAGCGCAGCGAACGAGTGAGATATCATGTTCAACACGAGATATAAATCTGGTATTTCCAAGCACCCATGTATTTTTCTGTTTATTATATAAACAAAATTCAGTGAAAAACAATAAAACGTCCGTGGCAATGCGTTTTACAACAAATGATATTTTCACACGTAAAAATATCGTATTTTTTACGTGTGTTTAAATACGATTTTTCTCAGTGGCCAAAAACTCTATATAACACTTATGTTTATATAATAAATTAATTTACTACACAGAAAAGCATGTCATTGTCTTTGCGGACCATAGGCAAAAAGCATTCGTCAACCACATACCAAATTTATGCAATCGTTAACTCATATACATGTCATGGAAAGAATATGAAAATAATTTTGAATGAAAGCTAGCATCGCGTATAATGTTAAAAGCACCGCATATAGCGCTCGAACCACTGCGTATAATTGCAAACGCACCGCGTATATAAATGGTGAAAGCACCGCGTATAATGCTGGAACCACAGCGTATAATGCGGGAACCACCGCGTATAATGGCGAAAGCACCGTGTATAATGCCGAAAGCACCGCCATATAATGCTAAAAGCACCCAACAAAATGCCGTTTGATCACTTTAAGCCAGCTATGGCTTTCCATAAAAGAAGACCAAAGATGAAAGATGATCACATTGCCTGTTTGCCTTATGCTTGACCGCGCTGCACCACGGTTAAAATTCACTGGTACCGTCATGCAATGCGCCAAATAGAAAATTTTGATATCGACCCACAAAACAAAATTAGGATCTGCTGCCTTGCTCGCTCGCTTCAGGCTCGCTCGCTGCGGCAGCAATGAACCCTAGACAGAATGATCTTTGATATGCAAAGCATTTGTTAAATAAAGAAGATTTGCATTTCTAGCACGGTTGAGTAGTCTTATGATTTACCAGAGCATCGATCCTCCTTTTGTCGTTTTGGCACTGGACAAATTGTGCTTAACAGATAAAAATATATAAAACATTGAACGTTTGTAGAGGAGTTAGTGGCCAGTATTAACTTACAGACGAAGGCTTCGCTCGAAACGCCAAAGTTCTTTATATTTTCAGGAACTGTAGTTTCACCATTCGCAGTTTGTATTCTTCACTACCTACACTAGCACCCATTTTCCGTGATTATATCATGCACATATTGTCCTTATATATCCCTTTTACGTCATTTGACCTGGGAGCCTCGCTCTCATGAATCGTGAGCCAATCACATTGCGTAATTTACTAATGAGAGCAAGGCTCCAAGACCAAAAAGTATGTGTGACGTAATTATCGAAAGGGTGTATTGGTAAAACAGGCATAGATAAGTGGACAAATAGGTATAGTATCTTCTAGTTATGAACTTTTAAGTTCATAACTAAACTAAATCAAATTTAATTTTAACTTTTTTTTAATTGAACATAAATTTTATCCCGACTCTGACTCCAAGCCTAAATTCCAATCATAAATTTCACATGCGTATTGTCTGAATATTCATACGCGATGAAATTTGGACATACACATAATTTTTAAATGCGGAATGCAAATATTTTGAAATATTATAATGAAATTTTTAATGCCAGTTGTAGACAGTTTCACCAATAGTTGTATTAATATGCTGCCTGACAAACTGTTTGGCAAAAAACCAGTTGTGTCGGACAATTACCTTTTCGTATCGGACAATACCCGTGACCAGCCGCTTATTTTCAGGCTTGCTCGAAGCACCGTGCAGCGACTGCATGGGACTATGAATTGGATATGTATGATGCGTTCTGGTGATGACGATTTGCCTTTTAAATCGCTCGTGCTCAGAATAACACCGGCTAAGGGACCGATTACATGGAGAGTTTCAGCCAGAACTGAGTTTCTTCCCGGGCTGAAATTTCAGCCCGGACTAAGGATCCTATTAAAAACAGCTAACGATTACATGACAGAAATTTAATCCCGGGATGAGTTTCGGCTCGGTTGAATCTATCCGGGTTGAAAATCGTCATGTAATCGACGGGAAATTTCAACCCGGGTTGGAAAAACAGCATTTAAAGGCGGACGGGTTTTCCAGTAGGCGAAATTTTTCGACCGAATCGCTAGGCGAAATTTTTCGACCGAATCGAAATTTCTCTTTGTTTCAGAGCTCTCGAGCAGAACTAATTGTAAAAAGACAAAGAGAAATTTCGTTTCGGTCGAAAAATTCCGCCTCGTGGAATCCGGCCTTTACAAGCACTCAGATGGAACTAAACAGAATTCTTTTGAATTTGAACAATAGAAATTTCGGTTCGATCGAAAAATTTCGCCTGGTGGAAAACCGCCTTAAGTGGCTTTATTTCTCTCTGTTCTATTTTTAAATGCAACCACAGTCTCGCAGAAGTCAAGTAATAATCATGAACAACATTTTAAATTCTTCGAAGAAGCGGAATAGCTCCGTTTTGTGCCCGGGTTTGAACTGAAATTCCAACTCACCCCGGGCTGAACTTTGCCATGTAATCGTGAAACAATTTCGGCTCGGTTAACCGCGGCTTGAAATTCAGACCGGGCTGAAAACTGTCCATGTAATCAGCCCTATACAGTCATGATTCATGAAGATTTCAGATCAATATATGAACATGACAATTTATGATAGAAAAATAGCTATATTATTTTACTATTTACTGTGGGTATAAGATATCATACTGTACATGGCCAGGGAAAAGTCTGCTATAATGATTTGAAACACAGAAATGTGTGTTGGTAAACATTTTGAGTGTTTCATCAACGAAAATCGTTGATTAAATCCTTCTACTATGTAAAAAGGAATATACCAAATTAATGTTTTATGTTAGCTTCGCTTTCGGGGGGTCTGTTCTGTACTGTTTGGCAGGCCTTTTTTTTTCAATTCAATCCTTTTCTGGTTGTTTCTCAACGGAGTCATACTAGTGAGAGATGAAAGAGAGGTGATATTATTTAATAATTTAGTCACAATCAAACGATCATTTCTCGTACTCGTGATTATTATTCGCGATTATTATTATTTCTCGTAATTGTTGATTATTTAATTATTTAGTCACAATCTAACGACCATTTCTCGTACTCTCCTGATCGATGACTGTGGTTGAGCTTGCTGTACGGATGTGGCTTTGTGTGATATTGTTGTGAGTTGCTTGATGCTTTAAGTCACTTGTAGACGCAATGCACTTATTGACACTGGGGCAAGTTTGATTGTCTAAAACGATTTAATTTAACTTATTAACTTCGCCACTTAAATTACATAGAAATATTACTCTGTCTAACAAAACATTACAACATAGCCTTGAAACAATTTTTACGAATATCGTAAGGTAAAATGTTCCAAACGTTATAGTGACTCTGTTCATATAAGAGCTCTGATAAGTTTTTGTACAACAAGAGTGTCGTTCGAAAGTCATCACTAGGAATAGAATTTCTGATCGTGTTAATCGACTCGGCAATTTGGGCTTGGGTAACACTTCAGGACTGGTATCAACTAAGTCATTCAATGCTTTAAAAAGCAGTACCAACTCGTGCCAATAACAAATAGGGAGAAAAGTACATTCCATTAATCTTTCTTGGTAAGTTTAGAATAAACTTAGCGGCTCGTCGTTGTACTCTTTCTTTCCCCTTAGTGAGCAAACTAGTTTGTGGTGCCCAAAGTTGCGTTCCATATCCAAGATGGGATCGTACCAAGGAGAGATACAATGAACGACGAACCGTTACACTCTATATTCACAGTCGATCTCCTAACGTCAAAATATACTTATGGTAGAGTATGTGGAGTTGAGTGGCATAAGCATGGAAGAGAAGAAAGGAAGTCAACGGTGTTGGGAAATTAGCATAAGATTAGCATAACGGAAAGTACACCGAGTTGTCGTAAGTACCGAGTTACATGGACACGATACACAAGGTTTAAGCCCTTCGTTTAGGAAAAGAAAGAAAAGAAGATATACAACGCATGTAGAATTGCCAGGTGTACTGTACCTCTATAAGCTTGTGTCTATCAATTTTTCTTACCTCGTGTATATAGCTACACATTTTTCTTGATAATATTACTTTTTGGACGTTGATATTCTAAATGACAA